TTTTCTTTTATTCTCTGGGTTCTGTTTACTAAGTAATTATCTTTGTTCAAAGAGAATGTAGGTTCAAGTCTTTAGGAGTGATGGGTCATAATTCCTGCAACTTATTTTCAGAGTTTGGCACAGATAATAAGTATAAAAGTATACACAGACACAAGAATATAGCAAAAGTGGCAAAATGTTATCCTTTAGGTTTAAAATTTCCAAATAAAAAAAGTAAAAATAAATGACCAAACAACCCAGATTCGTGAGGTAGTAGAAAGAAGGAAGTTCTATGATCTAAGCTTGAAATCTTAAAATGAGACGGTATTAAAATTGTCTTAGTTTTTTTTTTTCCTTAGAGAAAATGTGGTAGAAATAAAAGAGCATTTGGATATGATGGAACACAGAATTCAAATCTTTGTTAAATGATACTGAGGATGCCTCTCTTCCCAGGGTGTGTTTTCAGCAGTGATAGGGGATGATTCCAGACTTAGCCACACAATGTCAACTGGTTCCTTTCCTTACCAACAAAAAGGCATATTCAAAAGGATAAAAATAAAGGTATGCTTTTTTTTTTTTTTTTTTTTTTTAAGGATGACTCAGTCTGAGTTCACTTCGATTCACAGCACTGGGCTCTGAGCTGCTTGGCTAACTAGCCACAGATTGTGTTGAGAGAAAAAGTGCTTAATTAGCACTCAGTGCTTGCAAGACCTAACAATTTATTGTAGTGGTTTGTACCCCATCAACCTCCTTGTTGAATGATGCTGTGGACCGAATTGTGTCCCTCCAAAATTCATATGTTAAAGTCCTAACCCCTGTTAAATAACAAAAATTCAACTGAGTAAATTTTAAATCTAATTGGCTTTAATGAATGATTCATGTAATCAGCATCCCATCTAGCAAAAAGAAAGGAGCTCCAAAGAGCTACAGAAGAGAGACGGTTTTTAAAGGCAAAAAGTGTTTAAGACAAGGAACTCATAGGGGCACCTGGGTGGCTCAGTCGGTTAAGCATCTGGTCATGATCCCAGGGTCCTGGGTTCGAGCCCCGCGTCAGGCTCCCTGCTCGGCAGAGAGCTTGCTTTTCCCTCTCCCTCTGCCTGCCACTCTGCCACTTGTGCTCTCTCTCTCTGTCAAATAAATAAATAAATAAAATCTTAAAAAAAAAAAAGACAAGGAACTCATAAACAACAACAAAAAGATTATGTCGGGCAAGCTCTCCTTTCTTTTCCTCTGGGGGACAAAAGGAGTCTATCAGAAGATGACTTCCCTCATGCTAACCAGGAAATTCCAGACTGACCAGCTAAGATTATATTCCTGGATAAGGTTGAAAGTGCAATCTGGTTAGGTATAGTTTCAGTCTGCAGACATGGGCATGGCATAAGTGATTCCATTTTGGTCCTGTCATCTCTTTTTTTTTTTAAGTAAACTCTACCCCCAGCGTGAGGCTCAAACTCCTGACGCAGAGATCAAGAGTCACATGCTCTATTGACTGAGCCATTTGGGTGCCACCCTGTTGTCTGTCTCTGTCTCTCTTTTTTTTAAGATTTAATTAATCAATTAATTTATTTTTTTTACAGAGAGAGAGTGTGAGCAAGGAGACAGACACAGCAGGAGGGAGAAAGACAAGCAGACTCCACGCTGAGTGCGGAGCCTGACATAGGGCTCCATCACATGACCCGAGCTGAAATCAATAGTCAGATACTCAATGGACAGAGCCACCCAGGTGCCCCCTCTCTCCTTTTTAACACCCCCAACTGTGAAGGTATTTGGAGACAGGGCTTTTGGAAGATAATTAGTTTTAGGTGAGGTCATGAGTGGGTGGGGCCGTGATGGGCTTGAAACCCTCTAAGCAGAGACACAGAGAGTTTGTGCTCTCTCTCTCCCTGCCATGGGAAGACACAGTGAGAAACCGAATAAATTTTTTTTTTTTAAGATTTTTTTTATTTTATTTATTTGACAGAGAGAGAGATAGCCAGAGAGGGAACACAAGCAGGGGGGGTGGGAGAGCAGGGAGCCCGATGCGGGGCTCGATCCCAGGACCCTGGGATCATGACCTGAGCCGAAGGCAGACGCTTAACGACTGAGCCACCCAGGCGCCCCTGAAATATATATTTTTATTTTTTTTTTAATTTTATTTATTTGACAGAAACACAGTGAGAGAGGGAACACAAGCAGGGGGAGTGGGAGAGCGAGAAGCAGGCTTCCTGCCGAGCAGGGGAGCCCAATGCGGGACTCGATCCCAGGACCCCAGGATCATGACCTGAGCTGAAGGCAGACGCTTAACGACTGAGCCACCCAGGCGCCCCCCGAATAAATTTTTGTTAAAGTATAAGGGATAACATAAAGCTATAATTATTCAAAACATAACATGTTGTCAATGTGAATTAATGTTCCACAGGCTTCAATAATTAAAACTATCATATTAATTGGAGTGAGGTACTTGCATTGACTATTACACATATACACACGTTTGTACATTACTACAAGGTGAAACAGCTTTAGTTTTTAAATCTTTTGCTATATTACTGAGATGACTGGTGATTGATGAAATTACAATATAAACTAACATCAAACCATAGTATGTTTTAACATTTTTACTCTAGAAAAACAACAGTCTAATCATATAGAAAGAATAATATTATATGCCAATCTCATAATCTCAGTATCTTCAGGTTATTTTAAGAGTTGCCAAGTCTAGGGCGCCTGGGTGGCTCGGTTGGTTGGGCGACTGCCTTTGGCTCGGGTGGTGATCCTGGAGTCCCGGGATGGAGTCCTGCATCGGGCTCCCTGCTCAGCGGGAGTCTGCTTCTCCCTCTGACCCTCCTCCCTCTCATGCTCTCTATCATTCTCTCTCTCTCAATAAATAAATAAAAATTTAAAAAAAAAGAGTTGCCAAGTCTATGCCTATTTCTTATTCTGAGGCAAAAATCTTAAAGCTCCTATTTTGGCATACTTTGTCACCAAATAGTCTCCATGTTTTGCCCTGTAGAAATATATACATTAGTTATATGGAGAAATGGTGGGCATATATTATGTATATGAAAGCTTGAATAGATTTATGACTTAAATACATTTAAATAAATTTGATATGTCTTTTGGCTATATTTTGGGGTACATACTAATTAAGAATTATTTTCTCTTTCTAGAAAATTCAACCTTTTTCATTACAAAGTGACACTCCTAATTTAAGTAATGCCTTTCATCTTAAAGTCTATTTTTTCTGATATTAATACAGCCACACAGTTTTTTTTAATTGGTATATACATGGTCTAACTTTTTTCTCCTTTTACTTTCAACCTTACTGTATCCTTGCATTGAAGTTGGCATGTACTTTTAATATGAATAGCACATATTTTATAGTCAAATCTGAAAATTTTGAAATAGAACGGTTAGTTCTAGATTCAGTGTAATTGCTGTGTATTTAATTTAAATATTAACATCACTATATGTGCATCAGATTTTTTCCCACCCTATTTGTTCTGTTCCTTTTTTTAATTGATAAAGTATTTTTTTATTCCATTTTCTTTCCTTTGTTAGGAAGTTATAAGCACTTTTCCTTTAGTAAATAATCTTAGTCATTATAATGCATATAAGATACATTGTTGATTTATAAAGGTCTACTGTTAATCTCTACTTGTTTCCTTTTTCCAGAAAATGTAAGGTCCTTAAAAACATTTTAATTCCATGTATCTCCCTATTGATATAAATGGCATGATTGCAGGAATTTTATCTGGCATAATTTAAACCCTACGTTACCATTATTGCTTTATATGATCAATGTTTGCTTACATTTCTACATATTTATCATATTCTTTGATGCTTTTTTCCTTCATACAGCTGTTTTCCCATTCTGGATTTTTTCCTTATGTCTGAGACAGGAAGAAAGCTCTCACACACACACACACAAAAAAATCCATACTTTCCTCTTGGTCTTGGACTTACCAGCCTCCAGAACTGAGAGAAAATAAATTTCTGTTGTTCAAGCCACCTAGTTCATGGCCTCTTACTATGGCAGTCCATGCTGACAATTGCAAATATTTTGTTATGAAAGCTGATAGGAATTTCAGAAAAGAGAGGATGCTGTAAGCTATATAGTTAGTACTTTGTAAACACTAAAGCTAGTCTGTGTAAGCTTTTCACATGGTGAATGGCTCTATTTTAACTTAAGGTATATTATACTAGGTAGACACATTCATGTGAATGATGACTAGATTGTTTTTTTAAATGTTCTTTAGCCTATTCTTATTCCTGGCCCATGTTCATTTATATTAAATAAACTATACTAACTGTTCTTTTTGTACACCCTTGTATAGCAAACATTTAGAGATTCTAATATTTCTGCATGTAGAACATTGCCACAATTGTATTATCATAAATTCCTGGGAAAGCTGATATCTAAGCCAAGACCCAGAACAGAGGATTCAGTATTGTGGTACTGTCCTATTTCTTTTAAGGCTTTCCTGACATCTCCTCTCAGTTGGTTTTCACACAAAGAGAGTTAAAATAGAAGCCTTCTTACTTGAATAAAAAGTCTATTAAAAGAGAGTCATACCAACATGATACAGAGTTTAAACTTCTAATTTGAATTCAAAGCATAAACATTCTTTTCACCAGTCTTTTAGTGTAAAACCAGAGTCTCATCTTGGACTAACTCTGTCATTTGGAGTCTGCGCTATTTTTCTTCCTTACACAGTATCTGTATTGCAAAGTCTATGGTTTCCATTTTCAGTTTCTTTAAAGTAGAATGAGAATTTAAAGAGATTTGAAACAACTACATGCAGAATCATTCTAGGCTTTTATGGTCCCCTGTAATATTTTACACTTGTTTTAGCCATACCTAATTTGACAGGATTTTTTTTTTTAAGTGTCTTTATAGAAAGAAGTATTGCACCATTATGTCCTAAGGCAGGGGTTGACAAATTACTGCCCGTAAGCCAAATCCAGCTCCTGGTTTGTTTTGTATTGTCTATAAGCTAAGAACAGTTTCTACATTTTTAAAGGATTGGGTTTTGTTTTGTTTTTGTTTTTGTTTTTAGAAAAAGAAAAAAATATATGAATCTGAAAATGTTTACAATCTGGCCTTTTACAGAAAAAGTTTGCCAGCCTCCACCTTAGGACATCAGAGACCTCTTCTGGATTCTTTGCAGGTACAACAAGTGAGAGCAAGGGGAGTTTTAAGTGCCAGACAAAGAAATGGTGTTCATGTTTTTTGCCAACATTCTACTTACCCAAACTTAATCATATTGATTCCCCCTAACTGTGGGGGAGGCTGGGAATTGTTGCTTTTTTGTTTATCCTGGAGACAAGAGATGTGGTAAAGAAATATCATTTGTTTCTGTCATATGGAGACTTTTCTAATCATCATCTTAGAATAGAAATAAAAGTTCTCTTATTTTGCTCTCATATCTCATTGAATTATGTGTTATTTATGTGACATACAAATCACAAGAGTGCAGCCGACATAAAATATTTGAAATATATAAATGACACTTGATAAGTCTACAGCTCAACTAATGGGATAAGGAGGACATGGGCATCTTGGAGGGGAATCTTCTAACCTGGAGGTTTCCGCGGGCCCAGATTATCAAGCATTCTGTGTAGTTGATGGTTTAGAGCAGTGCTTCTTCACAAGAGGTGATTTTGCCCTTCAGGAGACATTTGGCAATGTCGGGAAATATGTTTGGCTATCCCAACGAAGAGAGTGGTACTAGCATCTAATTGGTGGAGGCCAGGAATGCTGTTTAACAACCTGCCATGCTCAGGACAGCCTTTTGCAACAAAGAGTTATCTGGCTCCAAATGTTAGTAGTACTGAGGTTGAGCAACCCTGGATTACAGAGCATTAGTTGACCTGGCAAGCTCCTAAGTGGAGGTTCGTTAAGAGAGCCTCTATTATATGTATGTAAGAATTAAGTTGGTCAAAATATATAGGAAGTAAATATTTGGAAATTGTTAAAGTTCCTAAGGAAGCCAGTTAATTCATACCTTTACCTCCCTCTGGATCCTAAACACATTGAGATTTGGTATAGAAAGCTCAGGGATAAGTGTACTAGCTTTCTATCTGGCCAAGCCTGAGCGGAGAACATAATATGGACAAATGGCAAAAGGAGAATTCTGAATGCTTCCCTTCAAATCTGAAGGAAGAGAGATCTGTATCTTATCAGCACAGGGAGTCCAGGGAGATGGAGAGAGTGAAACCACAGAAACAGAACAATGTTGAACTCATCAGTGTCTCTTAGCAGAAAAATACAGACCATGGATGGCGGAGTTTTCATCATCTCATTAATTCATTTCTCTTTTCATGAGGTGTTGAAAAGGTGATAGTTTCAACCTTTCCAATTTTGTGGAATTTCTATTTTATTGTCTAGAAAGGACTGTAGAAAGAGGAAAAGGTTGGTTCCCCTCAATTATGGTGGAGAAAGCCCCTTACCTGTAGGGAGCCCACTTTTTTCCTCTCTCTTCTACCTTGACTGAATATAGGATCTTGAGCAAGTCACAACCTTCCAGACCTCAGTTTCCTCTTGTGGGTAATAATCCAGATTCGTTGGCAGAATGAGGGCTGGCTTAGATAATCCATAGAGATCTCTTAAAATTGTAAGAACATCCCGAAGGACACACGGATGATTTCAAGACAGCACAAAGCGTATGCAATTATGAAATCTTGGCTGTAGATCAAGAGTATAATCTCAGTCTTCTAAATGATTAGAAATTGGGCATGGGGAGAAACTGTTTGAATGGAAAAGGTATAGGCATTGTAAGGCATGATCGTTCTGAGCACAGTGTCTTCTTGGGCCTCAGTGATAGCTACCCCTGTGAATTGGAAGTTGGTTATTCTGTTCCCCCAGTTCTCTGTTACCTTGGGCTCTGTGAATGTTCTGACCCCAAATTCAATTATTTCTTTGCATCTTCCATCAATTGTAATTCTCATGTTCTGAGGTTTTCTTTAAAACAGCTCCAGGATTTTTAAAAGTCACCTAATACATTTCTATGATTGGTACTTTGTGGTGATGGGGGCAATATACATACAGGATTGAGACTCAGAGGCAGGAATTTTAGTCATGATTCAGCCTTTTCCCGGCCTAGTGATTGAAGGAAAGTCACTGATGCTTTCGAGGCTTCACTGTTTCATCTGTAGAATGGGGAGAATAAAAGCACTAAACTCTCAAGGCTCTTGTGAAGGTTAAGTGTGTGAAAACACTTGTAAAACTATGAAGCATGCACGAATGTTAGAAGTGTTATACATTCTTCATCTACTTGTAGTCACCCTCTGGGACATCATAAAGTCTTCTTTGCCTTGAGGAATAAACATGAGGGAAAGAAAGTGCCTATTTACTCAATCATTAGGTGTGTAGTTGAAGAATAGTTGGGGGTCCCTTTCTACTGATTCAGACATCTAGATGTGTTTCTAAGGGTCCTACCTCAGGCTGACCACTTGAGGGCAAAGAACAAACTCTCTGTCTCACCACTATATGCACTTAATGGTAAACAGAGGCCCCTGAGGACCCTACCTGACTAGGGGCCTCTGCCTAAGCCACAGTGGCTCCCGAACATGTGATTGAATGGGTTCAGAAATGTTCAGAGCCATAATACTCCATCTCTTTAAATCTCAGCTTTGGAACCTGCTTAACCTCATTAGAAGGAATGACATGAAAATGTGTTATCTAAAAAGCCTTTTTTTCTTGTTTGCTTATTAGATAATTGTCACAGATTAAAAACAGGACTAAGAAAAGTCAATACTGCAATATAGTTCAGCTAGAATTTCAAATGCAGATTTCTAAGAAATAACTATCTCACCCACCACAGTTCTGATGAGTCTCCATAGGCTGGCTGAAAAGGTGGACCTTGCTCAAAACAACCCTCTCTGTTCACACTATTGGATTCAATTGGTTGCCTGGCAACACTGATCACAGGAAACCCCCATTGCTGCCCCCTTACCTAACTTAATTAAACTCAGAATTACATCCCTTCACCCAGGAATTTGGCAATATGTGCTTTAACAGCCATAAAAATGTCCATTCTCTTTGACTCAGTAATTCTACTTTGGGAACTTTCCTAAGGAAACAATCCAAAACATGGAAAAAGCTATGTGACCCAAAATACTCATCCCTACTTGATTTATAATATCAAATGATTAGAGAAAGCATTTAGGTCCACCTTTAGGGAAACAGTTAAATCAGTTGTGAAGAGGCCAAGGGCAGGTTGCCCCCAAGATGAGCCACTTTGGCATGAACATTATTTTGAAAGGAAAGCAATCAAAACCCAGCAGATTTAGGAAAAGCTCTTCACCTCCCACTTAACTGCCAGCTTGTACCAAGAAGAGAGCTATTAAGAGATTCTTCTTTACCTAATAAACTTATCTGTGTAAGAGGGCAACCTTTGTTTTACAAACACCTCCTCTCACCTTCCTGCTAATGTTCTTTCTCTCTTTTGCATCTCTGACTCATAACCTTTTCTTAGCTCATACAAGCCTTATGTTGCCTTACTGTTTAGAATTTCCTTGTCGGTGTGTATTTCCCATACATACACTATTAAATTTTATTTTCTCCTGTTAATCTTTCTCATGTGAATGTGATTCTAAGTCCAGCTAGAAGGACCTTGAGGGATAAAGGAAATTCTTCCTCCCCAACAATTGTGATGTATGCATTCAAGGGAACATTGTACAATCAATGAAAATTGTAGTCATGAAGGTTATATTAAAATATGGAAATACCAATGATATAATGTTGAGTGAAAAAGTAGAATTTACAGTTATCAGCACACTCTGATTATGTGAAAATATGGCTAAGAAATTCACCAGAATGCTATTATCATTTTTGTTAGAGTTGTGAGATCATGGATGATTTTTGAAAAATATTTTTCTCTTTTGATGACTATATAGTTATTTATAATACATTTGTTAAAGATTTACACCTCTGAAACCTGCTTCCATCCTCATTTCTGACCTATTCTGAATTTGTGGAATTAGATAAAAAGAACCTCAGAGTTATGGGGATTGATTAAAGAAGGCATTTGACACTTCCTACAAATAAAAGGAAATTTCACAAAGATATGAAAGAAAAAAAGTGTGAGGGTACCTAGGACATGTTAATATTACTTGATGGGCTGTAAATGAGGAAAGCATGCTCTGTTTTATTTCTAGCTTTGGAGAAGAAAATATCTCAAGAAATGAATGCCTGGATAGGAATGGCTGCCAAGCAATGATCTGAGCAGATTTACAAGGGTTTTTAGAGCACAGAAGGCCGAAAGTGTTTTGTGGTGGTAAGAACCTTGCTTGGGGGTTGCTGAGCCCTAGGTCCTTGCTCTAACTCAGACAGCCTCTGTCTATCTGAACATTATTCTAAAATGAGGACTGTATTATTTCTAATGTCATTTCCAACTCTGAAATTCATTCATTCATTCAACAATTTTTTTTAAGTAGGCTTTACACCCAACATGGGGCCTGAACTCAGGACCCTGAGATCAAGAGTCACATGTTCCATTGACTGAGCCGGCCAGGTGTCTGTCATTCAACAAATTTTTATTGAGCACCCACTGTATTCCACTAGGTATTTGTGGGGCTAAAAACAAAACAACAAAACAAGATAAAATGAGAATAGTACATGATTCCTAATCCCCAAATAAGCATTTGAATCTTATTTTAGGGACAGGGAAAGGAGCAGTTCAACAGTAGGAAGACTTTGTTTTGAATCTATCTTTATAAATAGGTACATGAATTACACTTTATTTTTTAATTTTTTTTAAGATTTTATTTATTCATTTGAGACACAGAGATATATATAGAGAGAGAGAGCATGAGCGGGGGAGAGGCAGAGGGAGAGGGAGAAGCAGACTCCCTGCTGAGCCAGGAGCCCAATGTGGGGCTCGATCCCAGGACCCCGGGATCATGACCTGAGCCGAAGGCAGATGCTTAACCATCTGAGCCACCCAGGCACCCCAAATTACACTTTAAAAAAATTACCATTCCCCTTACTAAGACAGTCAAAAGGAACATTCTCATCTGTCCATTAGTGTTGATACTATGTTCAGTAAGTTAAAAAGCAATTACAGAAATTTAATCTCTGCCTAAGAGAACTCATGTTCTAAGGATTCAAGCAAGATTATAAATACTAAAAAATAGCTTGGTATGACAACCTAGTTGGGAGATACATACCCTATATTTTGAACTTAGATCCTTTATTGTATCTTGGTTCTATCCCTCTCTTGTCATCATTGTTTACATGTTCATTTCCCAAATGGACAGAGTGTAATTCTAACATTCTCAAATTACCTTCTCATAAGAAGGACAGAAGAACGTTAACAGTCTAGCTGAGACTTCCCACTAGGTGCCAAAACCCAAACCTTTATTTAATGTTGACATAAAACTAGACTGAGACACCCACTAGTCAAATACCATAATGTAAACTTTGCCAGTGACAGACTCAGTGCTTTAAGTCAGTCTGTAAGTTTTAGAATTCTGACATAGTTTCCTTTTTTTCACTTATTACTGAGTCCTTCTGTATTCCTAGACCTTCTCTTAATAAAAACAGCTAACACATACCAGACATTTGCTGTGTGCCAGGAAGTTTGCAGAGTACCTTACATACACTATATGATTTTTAATCTTTACCAAAATGCTATAAGATAGGTACCATTAAGTAGATGAGCAATTAAGCGTTAGCTAAAGGTGACAAAATGGTAGTAATAGGGAACCTACACAGTAAGGTTAATGATGTCTATAATTTTGAAACTGTCACTTAAAAATATAAACTTTCACTTTATGTACAACGTCTGCAATCTTGACAATCCCTCATGTAGTGAATGGGGTGCTACACTGCTGAGATCCCCCCTATCTGGGAGTTATTCACCCATTTGCCAGCCCTGAAATGGGCTGATAGGCCTCAGGTCAGTGTCTCAGGAGATTGCCTCATCTGAAGAGAGCTGCCTTTGCTCAAGGCCAGAGGACTTTCCCTCCAAGGACTGGTTAAAACAGGGATAGGAAAGCCCTAACATTGGATATCCTAAAATAGCATCCTGTGGGATTGACTGGGGCCTGTGCTAGGCCTGCTCCTTTCCCCTCTCCCGTACGTACTGATCTCAATATCATTCCTTAATAAACTTCTCTACTCAGAGTCTGCCTCCCAGGAACCCAACCCAACACAGGAACCCCAAATTTGTCAAGAATCACACAATTTGGGGTGTCTGGGTGGCTGAGTTGGTTGGACGTCTGCCTTCGGCTCAGGTCATGATCCCAGAGTCTTAGGATCAAGCCCCACGTTGAGCTCCCCCTGCTCAGTGGGGAGCCTGCTTCTCCCTCTCCCACCCCTGGCCCCTGCTTGTGCTCTCTCTCGCTTGCTCTCTCAAATGGATAAGTAAAATCTTTAAAAAAAAAAAAAAAGAATCACATAATGTCAAAGCTTGGTCAGCAAATGATTATAAACTGTGTGATTGAATAAATGAATAAATGAATGAATGAACTGGTTACAAAGAAGTCCCTGTTTATCTAGTAAACATACTCCATCGTTTGCCTGGCTCAGTCTTACATTATTTGAGAGTTTCAGGAACATATTCCTTGCATAAAATGTGTTCATGATGCTAAGTGCCTCACACACATTATCTCGTTTATTCTTATAACAATCCTGTGAGATAGATACTGTTTTATTCCCATTTTGACTATAAAGAAACTGAGGACAAGAGTGGTTAATATTTTGTCCAGGTAAGTAAGTGAGATGCACAGCTGAGATTTGAACCCATGTCTTTCTGACCCTAGAATCCCCACCATGCTATATTTTCACACTGGCTAATATCTTGGTTTTCTCCAAAGTCACTTATGTATAGAAATAAATAAATGCTTTTTACTTGATTTGTTGATTTGATAGTACTTAAAACATACCTTTTGATGGGGATAGTTAAGCATTTGAAAATGACCTTGATCTAACTTGAAATTTGCATGGAAACTCTACCCTGGTGCTCTGCCTTACAGGAATTTGGCCACCAAATAAGTTGAAGGACTTTAGTTTTTTTACCTGTGTCTTGGGTTCCAGGACAGGAACAAACACATTGTACTATTAAAGCTACATTTGGTGGTTGAGGGAATGAATGAATGAATGAATGAATAAGAAAAATGTCTTCAATTTAAAATTTTACCGGGGGGGTGGGGTGGGGAGAATACTCCCTTACATGTTACAGAAAATTATTTTGTGTGTATATTTACCAAACAGTATTTTAATAGATTGACTTTTTGTGTCCCCTGAAGAATAATGACTAGGCGACAGAAAACTGATGTTTGAGTTTGAACTGAGATGAACAGTAAGAATCAATTAATATTGTATTGCAAAGAATCATAGGTTTTAATCAACTTAATTAGATACTGATTGAACTTATATTATGTGTAAGATAACATGAAGAGAAAATAGTAAAGACCCAATCCTGATAGCAAAGAAGTTACAGTGTAAGATTATGAGGACACACACAAATCTGTAACACAGATACCATGTGATAAATACCAGAGGACAGACCAATAAAGGCCTGTGAGAAGAGTAGGAAGGAGCAAACTGATTTGGCGGGAAAGAGAGGTAAAATCTTCCTTCTGTAGACTCCTGAAATAGACTTCTTTTTTTAATTATTTTTTTTAAAGATTTTTATTTATTTATTAGAGAGAGAGAATGAGAGAGAGCACATGAGAGTGGGGAAGGTCAGAGGGAGAAGCAGACTCCCCGCCGAGCAGGGAGCCCGATGCGGGACTCGATCCAGGGACTCCAGGATCATGACCTGAGCCGAAGGCAGTCGCCCAACCAACTGAGCCACCCAGGCGCTCCTTCTTTTTTTTATTATTATTATGTTGTGTTAATCACCATACATTACATCATTAGTTTTTGATGTAGTGTTCCATGATTCATTGTTTGTGCATAACACCCAGTGCTCCGTGCAGAACGTGCCCTCTTTAATACCCATCACCAAGCTAACCCATCCTCCCACCCCCTCCCCTCTAGAACCCTCAGTTTGTTTTTCAGAGTCCATATTCTCTCATGGTTTGTCTCCCCCTCCGATTTCCCCCCCTTCATTATTCCCCTCCTGCTATCTTCTTCTGCTTCTTCTTCTTCTTCTTCTTCTTCTTCTTCTTCTTCTCTAACATATAATGTATTATTTGTTTCAGGGGTACTGATCTGAGATTCAACAGTCTTACACAATTCACAGTGCTCACCATAGCACATACCCTGCCCAATGTCTATCCCCCAGCCACTCCATCCCTCCCACCCCCCACCACTCCAGCAACCCTCAGTTTGTTTCCTGAGATTAAAAATTCCTGTATCAGTGAGGTCATATGATACCTGTCTTTCTCTGATTGACTTACTGAAATAGACTTCTGATCAGTTACTCCCTTACTCAAGAACTTTCAAGAGCTCCCTATTTCTTACAAACACAGCCTAACCCCCTTAAAATGGCCTTCAAGACCCATGTTTGCTGGGCTACAGTCCTCTAAGTGTAGGGTGATAAACTCACCCTGATTTTCCCAGAACTTACCCAGTTTTAGTACTGAAAGTACTGCTTTCCTGGAGAGCCCATCAGCCCCAGGCAAACCAGGACAGATGGTTACCCTAAGCACACATTTAGTGCTTCATGAGGCCAAACTGAACCACTCTCTGGTTCTTCCAACCTTCCCCTTCTTCCTCAGTTCTGACTTTTTTTTCTTGCCTCAGCGCCTTTTCCCCAACCTTATACTCAAACCCTACTCTGAATTCAAGAACTACATTTAGTATCCCCATCACCAAGGCTTGATGATGGTGTTACCTATGTTGTTACCAGGAGTGCTAATATGAACTAACCTTTATTGAAACTTCTAACATTTTAAGTGGATTTCCATGTATAACCTTCATTTACCCTCGATTATATAGATTCTACAATTATCCACATTTTACAGAAGAATAAACTGAGACTCAGTGACAATATTATAACTTATCCAAAGTTACCTAGCTAACAAACGGCAAAGCTGAGACTGAACTCCAGATCACTGTCACACAAAACTCCAGGTTTCTAATCATGGCGGTACACTTAGTCTCATGTGGATGAATGGAGGAGATTTTAAAACCGAGCAGTAAAGAAACTAAGTTTTAGATGGGGAGACTATGCCAAGCCAAGTGAATAGTAATACTAATACTACTAAAAGGAGCTAACATCTGGTGAATACTCACTCTTTACCAGACAGCATGGCGTCTCATTCTCATAGATAACCTATGGAGGAAAGTCCTATTACTATCCTTGTTTTTCTGGTGGGGAAACAGACTCCGGAAGATGAGACCCGTTGCCCAAAGTTACATGGCTGGTTAATGGCAGAGGCAGATTTCAGACTCACCTTCATATAATTCCAGAGCAAAGGCTGTGAAGATTATGTTCTAGATACCAGAGAGGAGAGAAATTATGGGGTGTCCCTGCAGTAATACCAAGTCACCTGGTTTGGATGAAGCATAGAGGGCATAAGGAGAGCTGTAACGATGATGATGATGATGATGATGATGATGATGGCTGTTCTTGGACTAAACCCTTCCCATTGCCTGTCTTGTTTGATGGTGGTAACACAGATAGGCAACATTTACTGAGGACTTTATTGACTAAGCACTATACACAGCACTTTTCATGGACACCTATCTCATTGACTCCTCTCAACAACCCTTAAATAGGTACTGTTATTATCCTCCTTTTGAAACAAAGAGAAGGATGGTTGGGTAGTTACCAACTCATGATTCCTAGAAGAACCTCTTTTTCCAGTTTCGTGAATACCATCAAAAGATGCTCAGAGCAACTGCGTGCAAACACACACCTGTTCTGCCTGCAACCCCTCCTCCCCCCACGTGGACCTTCCAATCAAGCCGGTTTCCAATCAAGGCGGTTTCAGCCGAAACTAATTTCAGTCCACAGCACGCCACAAAGCAGGCACCATCTCAGAACTTGCTCCCCACAGTCAAGATTCGGCATATGAAAGTAATTCAGCTTTTTTTTTTTCTCCTGCGGGGCAGAGGGGTCCCCAACAGCTCCCCACCCCCGACCCCCCCGTGGTGTTTCTCTTATTGATGTGGGACTGCATCGTGACGCGTCATCTGCTAGCCTGGAGAACACGGCTGTCCAGGTAGGTCCCTTCAATGTGGGCTTCATCCCACCAGTCACATAAGCTGCAGTGAACGTTCCAAAGAGTTGTATTTAGCTCACAGCAGTTTTCCCGTAACGAAGAAGCCGCTGTTGGAAGTCGCGTTGGCCAAAAGGCTTCTCTTTGAAGGCAGAGAAGGCGAGGGTGAGAGCAGCACCAGCTAGAGCTGCCTGGAGAGCCTGGACGCCTAGCCGACTCTCTTCTGCCACCTAGCGCTGCTCGGAATTAAAGGTCACGCTCTGTTGGAAGGTTGCTGACCGTCTCTTCTGCCCACTAGGAATCTAGTTGTCTCTTGCAAGGTGTGTTCTTTGTGTGAGAGTAAACGTTCGTCATCTCTAGGCATTTTTCACGACTTTTGAAATGTGGCCACGTCTTGATCTTTCGGAAAATGGGTTTTGATACTCCAGTGCATCGAGAAATAAAGCTAAACCGAGGTGGATTTCAGATGTATTTGATGAATATGAGCTTCTTGGAATCCATTTCAGTTTCGGAGTCAGGCGTTGGACAATAATACAATGCAGGCTCCTTTAGTAGAATTTTACCTGTGGTTTCTGTCATCTGGCTTTTCAGAAATCGGTCCTTTTATACAATATGAGGTTGGACAAAAATGAAGTCAGAAAGCTCCAGGGCAGTTTTTGAACTTCGGCCTTCAGTCTTAGATACCCAATTTTAGGGAGCATTTTGAGGGAAAAGATGATATTCTGTACTTCAGTACTTCCTTGGGGGAAATAATGAGAATACAGCCTTTGTTCCCTTTTAGAGATACAGAAAAGCCCCTAGATTTTCCACTTACTGGAGTCTCCTGGTCTCCTGAGGGTGTGTACACGTGTGAGAGAGAAAGAGAGATTCAAGTCTCTGGAGGTTTGTTTGCTTGACCTCTGAGCTTTGCAAAGGAAAGGGTTTATGTCTATATAATTGCTGTGATGATTATTGTTATATATTTAGATTTAGGAAGGTGCCTTAAAAACCACAATATAAATCCTTATCTTTTGAATGCATTTTTTCGATCATTTTTAAGTGGCACAATTAACTGTTATAATTAACCATTCTACACACAAGCTTACATTTATAATAGATTTTTTTAAAAGTCATCTTTGGAACATTCAACTCATTTTCCTATGTTGACTTCATGTAAACTCCTTGAGATACTGTAGTGCCTGTTCTGATTACCCCACAGCACAATGGACTTGGCCTGGCTATAACTAGCTGGTCGAAACGGAAAACTCTCATGGGGTTATGGAGCTTCTCATGTTAACAAATGTTACTTCTTACAAATGAGAAAATTTTTATTGAACAACTTTGTTGAAACAGGTGGTTTTCTGTAGTTTGGTGGAGGAAGAAAGGCTTCCCAAATTATTAAGATTTGATATTGAAGAAAATTTAAAAATCATGTGCAAATGTCTCCAGAAAAGATCTAAAAATGATAGCCCTTAGAGATTCCAATAGGACCGGCACCAGTTGCAGGTTCTAGAATTCAGCCAGGTGATGCTTACTGCTACATAAATGACAACAGCTGGAAATCTTCTAAGTCAGGGTGGATCTCATCCTATAATTTTTCTTCCTGTAGGTATATTGTCATTTTATCTTAGGTGCATATTGTATAATTATAAAAACAATAGTTTTCCACTTTTAAGTACATTGAAAAGATTAAATTGTTTTATAAAACCATTCAATACACTTGTATTGAATAACAAAGAGATCCATGAATTTATTTAGGATTTTTGTTTTGTTTTGTTTTTCACATAGAATGGGTTCATCTGTTTGCTATGTGGGGTTATATAGCATTGATTCAATTCAGTATGGCTCGAAAGAAGCAGTCTCAAAATGATGATGATGGTAATAATAGAGGTTTATTGGATGTACGGCACTGTTCACAATATATGTGTGCATTATCTTATTTAATTGGCATTCAATCCCATGAGGTAGGATTGTTACTCTCTGCTTGACATATGCAGATTGAATTCCCCGACTTAAGTACTGCAAATAGTCAAGCGACTCCTAGATGATGAAGCTGTATTCAGGCCTAAAACTTTCTGGCTCCTAATGCTCTGCTATTCTATTCCTCTGTCATTTGACTTGCCTTTTTCACCTTGGGGTTAGGAACTGAGTTAATTAGAGCAGGTGATAATGAAGCCAGTCAACTGGTTGAATCCTCAATTTTTCCTATTTTCTTATTTCATAAAGATAAAGAGTGCTTTCATTTACTTGAAAGGACTAAGGTGTGTCAATATTGGCTGTTTATTTTCTCAGATACCACTGAGCTAACTGAATTAGATGGGGCTGCACGCTCCAGTTCCTCATTGTCCTCACTGGCTGCAGGTCCTCACATGACCTCCTTGCTCCTTGATGTCCTTTACTTTGTGATCCCGGCTTTGGTCTCAGGCCTGCAGAAAAGCGAGTTAATTTGGCAGCAAAGAGTTATGTATTAGAGATTTCTAATGTGTCAAAATTTGGTTGAGTTTTGAGTGAGTTGTTCATGGGATTTGTTCCTTTAATTATTGTTTTAAAATAGTTGTAAAAAGTGGCGATAGAATGTGGGCAGCACGTGTGTGAACCCTAAAACTTGGATTCAAAACTATTTCGAGATCGATAGTAAAATTCTTTCTCTCACATTTCAATAAAGCAGACGTTTTGAAGTGCTTAGTCTGCACTCAGGACACAGAAGAAATAGGTAAACACAAGACTGTACACTCACAGGTGTGGTCCCTCGGAGCCACCCCCGCATCTGAACCATAGAGGGGGCTCCGGTCTTGGCTCAGATACTGCTTGAAACAGGACCTTAAGCCTCCCGAGTTTTCTCAGGTGAATATAATAAGGTAATTGGTCTAAGTTATTGCTTTAAAGTCCCCCTCCTACATCAGGGTGCTATGATTGTGGAGTTATGACATCTGTTTTCTTTCATTATGTCTCAAGAAGAAAAGGCAGCGGGATTCTTTTCATCAGAATTTTAGATGATAAGCAAAAATGCTAAACCTTCTTCCAAGGAAGGTCATATTAAAATGAACTGTAATGAATTCGGATGCTCGGAGTTAAGTCTAAAGGGGTTAGGAAAGCACCATCAGTACCTGAAGGGGTGTAAGAATGAGTGTGGTTGTCATTCTTCATAATTGCACATGCAAGATTAAGTCTTCTACTTCATGTCTTAAAAATAGGATTAAAATACAACCCTAGAGAAATTTTAATATGCACGAAAACTTCCAATGAAGATTAATATTTTATTTTACCCACACAAATTTAATTTTATTTTACTGGTAAGCAGAAAAATTTTGTTATTCTTATAAACTACTGATAATTGCCTTAACTGCATTAGCTTTGTTCAAATTTATATTGATTGCAGAGACCTAGATAATTTTAATTCCATAAGCTTGGTTTTCTTATACCAAGAGGAAATAGCAGAGTGTATGTACTTTATTCTTTGCTTTCTGTGAGCTTTGTTGTTTTGAATATAAAAATCTAGTTTTCCCTAAGGCAATGAAAATGTTTTTGGGTGTGTGTGTGTGTGTGTGTGTGTGTATGTGCTTTCATTTGTAAGGAAATTGGATGAAACCTGAAAATAGGCTAGGAACTTGATAACAAATGTGAGTATACACTTATTCTCAATATCGGTAACTTTTTCATTAACCAGGAAAATTAATTTAGCCTTTGTTTTGAAGTGAATATTTTTATTAAATTCTTAAATATGATGGAGGAAAAGTGCTTTTCACTGTCAAATTTTTGTTACCAGTATTAAGTGAATGGAAAATTAAGGGGAATGCAAATAAGGGAGGAAAGAGGAATGATTTGAATACCTACTAATGGTCAGGCCTTTCCCAGACATTATCCCAGTTAGTCTTAGGAAGAATTCTCTATGGTAGATGTCACAATCCCGATTTTGCTAAAAATGAGGCTAAAATATGGTCACAAGCTCACCACTAGCAGGATCTGATTTCAGGTGGCTTGAGAGCTTTCCATTTCACCATCCTGAATGGAAGAAGTCAGTTTTTGTGCAAATACTATTTCTTATCTGTCTTCGCTATTAGACTATAAGTTGTTTGAGACCAGAGATGGAATTTGCTTTCTTCTGTTCTCCATCCCAGCACACTTCCTAAATCCTGAGGAAGTGCTCGGAAGAGCACTGTGAACACAAGAGCACTAAGAGAAATAGGAATTGAGTGAACAAACCGGTGAAACAATGAACTTCACTTTCTATCTTTCAAAACGATGATTTTTTAGGCTACTGATTTCTCCTTACTAAAGAGGATGGCTGTAGAAGTTTAGGGTTAAGTCCATGACTCATTTTAGTGACTATATGGAAAGGAATATGTGAGTAGCATTTAAAATAATTATCTTCCTTTTGGATCTTGGATTTTAGGGCCCAAATAGCTAAATGTGTTACAACGTCATTTATTAAAAAGGTTTAGAAATAAGACCTGTTGAACCACAGTCTGTTCTGATTGAATCTCATCAAGTTCATTCCTAATAACCTCATGTGCAACAAAATGTCTTCCCAAATGGAGCATTAAGTATGTGGTACCAGTTTCCCAGCATCACCTCTAAAACCAAGTGTCTTGTGTAGTCTTAGTGAGCAAAATTGGTAACCAGAGAAGGTTACTCACCATCCTGAATGTACTTATTTTATAATCATTGCGCATATGGCCAGTGCCTTGGAGTCAGAAGCTGTGTTCCTAATACAGAGGTTCTTGAACTATCTTTGGATAAAACATTTTCACATCTTTCATATATTCCAAGCTCACTCATTTTATGGTAAGTAGCTCAGGGACTTGGTGTCTCAGTAAAAAAATATGCCTGTTTCGTACTTGGTTACTTTTAAGAAGAAGATTCTTGAAATTAATTGATGACATATATACAGGATTAAAATAATCCTCCTGGCTTCTCTTACTCTTAAATT